TTAATTTATAAAAGTTTCCATTTCCACCCCTCCTCCTAACACCCTCCCACTCCCCCCACTCTCTCTCCTCCTCCCTCTCCATCCCTAAGAGCAGTCAGGGTTTCCTGCCCTGTGGGAAGTTCAAGTTCCTCCCCCCTCCCTCCAGGTCCAGGAAGGTGAGCATCCAAACAGACTGGATCCCCAAAATCCAGTATATGCAGAGGAAACAAGTCCCAGTGTCATTGTCAATGACTTTTCAGAAAGACCCCGTGCCAGCCACTTAAGGTCATGCTCAACATCCTTAGCGATCAGGGAAATGCAAATCAAAACAACTATGAGATACCATTTTACACCGGTCAGATTAGCTAAAGTCAAAAACACCAATGATAACCTATGCTGGAGAGGATGTGGAGAGAGGGGAACTCTCATCCATTGTTGGTGGGAATGCAAACTTGTGCAGCCACTGTGGAAATCAGTGTGGCGGTTTCTCAGTGGCCTGTATTCTTAAAACCCTGTCTTGATTAATTTAAGCCTGCTTGCTCAGGAAAGTCTAAAATTCAAGAAAGAAACAGTCCGTGTTCCATTTAGGACAGATAAAAGAAGATAATAACGCCACATATCAGGATTAGTATGTAGTGAATGTGGGCTCCGAGACAACTTGTGGAAACTGTGAATGACATAACTGGAATGGAGGTATCCAAACTTTAAGACAGGGAGTATAGTACCTCCCTTGGCTTGATCATGGGTGCTTTTGCTAGCAATTGCATAAAAGGGTAGATACAATACAGTCCTACTAACAGACTAGACTATAATAAATGTCACTAAACCAAATAACCAGGATGGACTCTCCCCTATTTAACACTACTTTAGAAAAGTTCTTTAAACAAAGCAAAAAAAATTATTTAATTAAATAAACCAAAAATTATTTAATTAAATTATTTTTTGAATGAGATACAAAAAAGATGTATCATGTCTTTGTAGGTAAATATCTGTAAGCGCCACCTCCCTAGGCCTTCTCTCTCTCTATGGAACTTGCCTGATTTCTTCCCAGCAGACTCTTTAGCACCACAAGCATTTCAGAGACCCCAGGAGAAAACCAGTCAAGAACGAGGCGTATGCCAGTCAGATTGTGCTAATTTAGGAATGACAAAATGATGGCAAGTGTTGGGCAGCTGACTGGTCCCAGTTTGCAGAATCTACTGGGGAACTCTTTAACTGTGTGAGCTGAAATACAGACTTTGTCTTTGTGGGGTGGGGGGAGGGGTATTTGTTTGTTTTCTGTTGTTTTTGCTCTTACAGTTACTTCCTTCTGTTGGTGTTGAAATTCAGGTCTAGGCTTCCAGGCAAACAGACACAGATGCTGATTGTAATGGTGAGCTTGTAGCCCTCAAAGTTGTTAGAGTTAGAAAGTGATTTTTTTTTTCAGATCTATTAAAAATGAAATATTGTAATTGAAATCTTTTCTTCAGGAGACAGACATTACCTTAATCTGCATGCAATCTTTGATGGTTTCAGTGTTTTCTTCCTACATGTATGTGTTCTTGTATCTGATGAACAAATGGCAAATTGTTCCTAAAATGTACAGAAATGACATTATGTGATGTATTGTTTTTGTAGCTGTTTTTGCTTTAATATTTTTTTCTCTTTTGAGGCCTTTCCATGTTGATATCATGCAAATATGTTTCTTTCTTAAATGTTGTATTACATTCCATTGATGGGATATTGAAGTGATTCCTTACATTGTTCTATTATTAAATAAAACTCAAGAGTCAGATATCAGGATAGAAATCTGATTGATCAGAGAAGCAGCTACTAAACAACAATGACCTTCCCTTTCTCTCCTTCTATCCAAAAGGGCCCTCGAATCTTTCTAAGTCCCTCCCTATTACTTCCGGTGCCTCTCTGTATGTCCTGGGGCCTCCAAAACCTCTATGGCTAATTCTGGCTACCTAGTAGCTAGCTCTGCCCTCTAGTTCAAGGTAAACTTTATTGGCAGTCTAGGCAGTATCAGAGTGCGATCAAAATATCTCACAACAGAATATAGGTATGCCTTATTAGTGAATGTTTAAGTCACCATTTGTTTGCTTCTATAAATAATGCTTCAGTGAATTCCCTTAGTTCCTTAGGCACATGTAGATGAAGTTCTATAAAGCATGTGCTTGAAGTACTTACTTAGAGACTGCTTGTATTGCTTATATACATATTAATTAATTATCTTTAATACATATTATAACTTATGTGTCTATTAACAAGTCTTTAAAGTACTTCCAGTTCACAAACCTGACTGTATGAGAATGCTTATTGTCTCATATTAATACTTGTAGTGTCAGACTTTTAAATTTTAGACAAACGTGTGAAGATGAAATGTTAACTAATAATTTTCAAATTTGTATTTCCCTGAACATTAGTAATGTTGAGTATATTCTCATAATACGTTTGCAAACAGATCTTCACTTCCATTAAGGGGGAAGGGAGAAAGAGACAGGGAGAGGGAAGGGGGCTGGAGAGAAAAAAATAATACAACTGAAGTCCCTCTTATTCACTGACTATGTGTTCACTCTGTACCAGGCACTGTTTGAACTCTGGGGACACAACAGAGAACAAAACAGTCCTGTAAATCCTACCACTTTTCTTTAAGATGAAGCAGGCAGGATGTTGAAGAGGAATGCTGTCTGTCATTTTAACCAGGGCCCCAAAGGTGAAGAACCACCTTTCAAGTGCTTCAAAACCTTTCAAGTGTTTATCATCCTGTATAATCGGGTGCTAGACCCTCCTGGCAAGGACAAGGACGCACTAAGAGACTGAAGTCATTGCCTGTTGAGCGCTCACACATGTGCAGCTCTGGAAGGAGACTGAAGCCATTGCCTGTGAGCACTCACACATGTGTAGCTCTGGAAGGAGACTGCTACAGAGCTGAGACGATATTCCATTGCCGACCATCCCGCCGGTATGCTTGCAAATGCCAGATTCTGCAGAAATGGCTGTTGTTGCTCAAGTAAACATGTAGTGTGTAGAGAGAGGAGGGTAATGTGTAAGCCTTCTGGGACCAGTACTGCTGGAGTGGGTGGAGGCAAATGAGCCTGAAAAGGACACGGAGAACTGGTCGAGCAAGTGTGTGTTGAGGTAGAAGAACAAACCCCACCCCATAACAAAGCAGCAGAGGACAGAGAAGCCAAGGAAGAATGCAGTTTGCAGGACATCAGTGAGACCTTGTGCTCTCCTCATTCCGACACAAGAATACACCCTGGCACAGCTTTGACAACATAGATGACATCAGTTCCTCAAATCTGAATTCTTTTCTTAAGATGTAGTTGAGGCCAGAAGGTGGCTCAGAGGGTCAGAGTCGTTGCCACAGAAGCCTGACAACCTGTGTTCAGTCCCTGGAACCCAAGGTCAAAGGAGAGAACTAACTCCCAAAAGTTGACCTGTGACCTCCACATGCATGCCATGATGCCATGATTTGCACACCCCCATCCCCAGTAAAACAAAAGAGCAAACAAGCAAACAAAAAATAACAAGTGAAATAATTTTCATTAAAATGTAGTTAATAATATATGTGTCTTGTCGTTTTTAGCATCAATTGAGATAATACAGGCAGGTGCTTTGTCCCCGGTCTGATCCATAGTGAATTCTGTAAAACACGATTATTTTATCAGTTAGACGGGAAATGGGCCTGGGGATGCAACTTAGTGTTTGTGAAGCACCTGCCTTGCAATTGCAAGGTCCTGGGTTGGATACCTAGCACCGCGAAGGAAAGGGTTAACTGTCTCAAATGCACTTAAATGGAGGCAGGATTTTTTTTTCTTTCTGCAAAGATTTTAGGAATCGAAGACATATAGGGTCTGTGTCATCTACAAAGCTCTTCCCCTGGGGCATGGAAGTAGCTACGGACGACATGAGTATGACTGTGACTCAAAAAAAAAAAAGTTTTTACAAAAACAGGTGGCAAGTAGATTAAAGATGGCGGGCTACTTAAGCGATGTTTCTTTCCTGTAACATAATCTGTGACTAATACAGGCATCTTGAGCCCCTCTGCATTGCCCTAGGGCAGTGGGCCAAGGAGGGCCAGCCCGAAGATTCTGGCAATTACACCGTTTGCTGTGTCGTGAGTATTATGTCTCTTGTTGCTGACCTGGAACTCCCTCGTCTTCTGTAAGAGGCTAACCGATTCGATTGCGTGTCCAATGAAGTCATATCCCAGAGCTGACAGTGTTGTGTTGGAAACGGAGAGCTGTAGGTCTCTTGTAAGGGATCTGTTCATGGATTCCTGGAGCAGAATCTTACGGAGGGAGCAGTGACAAAGGAGTATGGAAGGATATTGAGCAGCAAATTAAAGTGTTTGTGGGGGAGCTTTACGCCCTAATTTTACGCCCTAAGCGGGTACACACATGCTTTAGAGACAATACTCTAAACTGAGATGGAGAAAGGTCTCTTTCTTTAGTAACTCCACTAAACTACCGTTGATGGGTGTCAGTTGTTCAAAGAATAAAGCATAAAGGATAATACACATAGCAGATCTCCTCCATCTGTGCCTGTAGTCCAAGTATCAGACGGGGTGCTTCCCCGTCATTGTGGATAGGTAAATATTTGCTACTTTTTAAACCTTCCGTCCCCATTTCATATATCATCAGTTCACGTGTTTAAGAGTAACCGCTGCACAAGATGTAATGCCACTGGGCAAAGGACTTTCCAGAGAAAGACGGAAGGATCCAGACACCAGTCTTATACATAGGATTGCTGGTGAGAGGCCATCCCAAGGAAAGAGCTGTGCGGAAATCGTGTGTGTTCGCGCCTTCATTCAACTGCGCTTTTACCTCTTAACTTGTCAGCTGACTCCTTGCACAGACTGAAATCAGAATACACATTCCATAGCCAGAGGAACTCCAGCCTCAGAAAAGCCCCCAAAGAGTCTCCTATCATCACATTCTGTGTGGTTGCCATGGTAGTCCCTCACATAGTACTCAGCTTATGTACTCAGGCTTCTGACACCTATGTCACTAGATTCTAGAGTCTCCCGCCATCACAGACTATGTTGTTGCCATAGTAGTCCTACATGCAGCTTAAGTATTCAGTTTTCTGACCTGTTCCACCTACACAGGGCATTTTACGTTTTATGAATGATGGCCTAGAAGGGAAAGACTTACTTTGGATTAAATTCAGTATGGGAAAATGCTTAAGGTATGCCTTACGGACAAAGCAAATGAAAAACAACAAACACTTCATGTGTTTCCTATTTGGTGCGCTAAAGAAGGTTGAAAGTGTTCAGAAACCCACTGTAGCGCTGCCCTCGGGTTCCCACAGCAACTGGAGATGTGTGTGTTTGAAGCATCCTCAAACCTGCCGAGATTTTTGCTTCATCCATGGCAGATATGTTAAAACGTAATTAGTCAAGGGGATATAGGTTTGTTTCAGTTAATTCCCTTAAATATAGTAGTTTAATAGTCTCAAAGTGTGTGTGTGTGTGTGTGTGTGTGTGTGTAAGTTCTAACTCTCTGGGGACTTATGCATGATGTCATCTTATATTTCCTTTCCTTTTTCTTTCTTCCTGCCTACTTCCCTGAGTCTTTCACTCTCCCCATCCCTAAGCTTTAACAGAGTGGGTAGGCTCTTGTCAGGAGATAATCTACCTATCTACACATTCTTGGGCACATCTGTGTGTCCATTAACCTTAGCCACCCCGTTTTCTAAGTAGCTGTTGTTTCCCGTTGGTATGGTAGAAATTATTCTCTGGGAGGCTTGCTGGGTCTCCACTCAGTTCCCTGTTTGCTTTTTCTTCCTCATTTGGCCTTCTTTTCACTCTAGCTGCCAGAAAGATGACCAGAGCTCCCAACAAAATTATCCTGAGGACCTAGTTACTCCACCACACACGCGTCTTGGATCCTCTTGTATTTTACAACCAAAAGCAGCTCTGGGTTTAATAACTTGTCGTCCTTCTTCAACAAGTAAGTTAAATAGAAAATTCTCTTCTTCATCAAGTGGATCCAGTCGCTTTTTTCCCTCTAGACGACGACATAATTTACTGGCAAGACTTCGAAGGAGATGGAGACAGCAAAGTAGAGTTAACTTTGATTCTCAGGAAGACGTAACTTCCAATGTCACAAGATCTTCAGATCACATTAGTGCCACTAGATCTCGAAAATGTTTTTTATCCCCCCACCTAAGTGTAGTTTCCTGTTACAGGAGTAGCCTTGTCTATGATACTCCGCGAGGTAGTCTGAACCTGTCTCATGCAAAGGAGATTCAAAGCTTTTCTAAAAAATCAAGTAGTCATGACACTCAAAAACGTATAAGCTTCTCTGGTCCTGACCATGGCGCTAAGTCCTTTCCAAATTTGGAAACAAAAGCCGTTTCTCCAGGCCATTGGACTGTTGAAAGGACATCTCACTCGCAAAGCCTAACAGCATCTCCCTTTTCTCTTCCAACTGTTATGTCTTCTTCCAGTCAAGTAACTTTATCAATTGCTGATGGCCGAGAACACGGCCAACTAAATAAGGATTCGGAAGATGCCCTTCATCACAGGTCTCAGAGTACAAATTACTCTCCAGGTGACACCAAACGTCTATCTCAGAATAGAACTTCCGCCAGCCTCTCCCATGATGAACTTCCTTCACTGTATAAAGATGTCAACAGCTTAATCGTTGAAGTTACCTCAGGCCCCTTTGAAGAAGGTTTTGCTGCCTCGCCTCCAGATGAAGAAGAAACAGCTTCACCTATTGAAATGACTGAAATAAGGTCACCTAGATTTTCCTTTCTCTGAGTAGGGCAGCGCAAATCAGGATTTCCCAGCCTTCAGTCTCCAAAGTCACTAGAAACCAGTACTCCCTCCACTTGGAAATCTGTGCTCATGGCTCTACCACAGTTGGGGACAGAGGTTTCTGGATTGTAGTCTAAATGTAATAGTGTGTGCTTCTGAGAGTTTATAGATATTATTAGAATGTGGAAGCCAAAGATGATTTCATGTTTCAGGCTTCTGTCAGATTACAGTTCAGAGGTTGGCTAGTCCTAACTTTCTAAGTGACTGTTGTAATATACCCTAGTCTGACAGTGACACTGAGTTTTTTATGTGTAACTTACCTGAACAAAATACTTCCTTGGAGTACAGTGCTTCCTTTGGTCCTAATCACTAGAGATGGTAACTCTATATAATATAGTCTGTAGTTATGGTGATTGATTCATACATTTTCATTCATATCACCTTTTACTCGTCCTGTTTCCCACACAGACACCACACTGACAAAGTTTTCATTAACACAAGAATTAAGTAAACAGTGATGTAATGGGAAATATAGCTTATTTAGAACCCAGATTTTTAATTAGATTCATTTATTTGGGGTGCATATACATGCCACAGTATGTGTGTGGAGGCCAGGTGGCAGTCTTTAGAAGAGGATTCTCGCTACCATCTAGGTTCCGAATGTCAGTCTCATGTCGTCAGGCTTGGTGGTGAGTGCCTTTATCTGTTGAGCCATCTCATTGGCTCATAACCTGGAAATTTTGATGAATAATCTAATTCTGTATTTGTATATGCACAAATCTTGGAACTCAAGGAGTCATGTAATGTCTCTCAAAACTGTATCTTTAGAGTATTTTTTATTCTTTCTCAGTAAACAAAAGTTACATAAGTACTCTCAAAAAGTAATGAGTAGAGAGATGATGTAAGCAACTAAAGGCCATTTGTTTGAATATAATTGGACTTGTTCATAAAGGGTACTTATGGTATTTTCAGTTATTTATCATAGTAAAGTGAAACCCCAAGCCCCAACCTTAGGTTGAAATGTTATTTTGAAATGCAAGCGTTTCTATTTATCATATTTAACATATTAAATATTTTTTATGTTTAATTATATAACATATCTATTTAACATATTAAAATTTTATTTTTAATTTTAAATTTATTACTTGCAATGAACATGAAATTCGTGTATCATTGAAACCATTTTGAGGTGTGTACTTCAGAGGTATTAAAAACATCCACAGGTATTATAGGACCAACATTACCATCATTTCCACGGCTCTTTTCATCTTGTAAAGCTGAAGTTCTATACCCATTAAATAATAACTCTCTAGTTCTTTTTCCTCCTGTACCCTGTCTACTAGCTTTCTGCTTTCCATGATTTTGACTAATTAAGTGGCTCATATAAGTAGAATTGTTAGTATTTGTCTTTTCCAACTGGCTTATTTCATTTAGCATTATGTCATCAAAGGTCTGTGTAGCATATATCAAAATGTCCTTTCTTATTTTTTAAGGCTGAATAACACCCTGTTTTATATATGAATCACATTTCACCTAAACATTCATCTGTCATTGGATAATTTGGATTTTTTTCTATGTTTGAATTGTTCTGAGTAATTCCACTATGAACACGAGGGCAAATGCTCTTTGAGACCCTGCTTTTTAATTCTTATTGCCATATATCAATTATACACAATAATGGGTTTCACTGTGACATTTTCATATATGCACACAGTGTATTTCAATCCTATTTACTCTTGCCTTCTAGTTTCCCTCTTACTTCCTCTGATCCCCTTTTCTCAACTAGCTCCCCAATTCTATTTCTTGTCTTTTTTTTTTTTTTATGACTCAAGGTTTGTTGGCAGGAACATGGCCACCTTACCAGTGCTGTACAGTAGAAGAGAACATTTCCCCACTAGACATTGACAATGCATAAATTCTCAGGGAGGAAAGGGCCTGAAGAACGGCTCCCTATCCCAGGACAGGATGTTGACGGGTCTGCTCTGGTGCAGGCCTTGAGCAGCACCTGTGAATTCTCGAGTGCAACAGCCGTGCAATGCCTGGTAGTCAGCATTCCACACCATACACCCCGTCTTCCATCTCCTACGTTCTTGCCCACCGCTTCTGTGATATGTGCAGGACTTTGTGGGGAGGGGGAGCCGTGCAGATGCCCCCGTTTCTTGCTGAGCATTCAAGCAATTGCTTATTTTCCAACTCGAAGAGTTGTGTGTCTCTGAAGTTACTGCTGAAGTTACTGCTGGTGACTTCAAAAAGAGGCTTTTCTGACCGAAGCCTACAATGCCACCAATCCACTGGCATAAACATAGAGGGGAGTTTGACAGCCATGTCATGTCCAGTTAGCAATACGACAGGAGTAGCCTCCTCACTAGAGACTCTCACCTTCCCAGCCACGGGCTTTTGGCTGGCTTTTTAGTACCAGATGTGAATTCCCTCCTGTGGAGCCAGGCCTCCAATCCAATCAGAAAGCACATTGGTTACTCTCCAAACAGACTTGCCTTTGTTGCACTAGGGGTATGTCTTGCTGGCCGGTAGTTATTATTGCACTGAAGGGCTCAAGCTGAGAAAAAATCTTAATGGCAGTTCTCTCTCAGCATCTGCATAGCAATCTGAGGGCGAGCCAGGGCACAGGAAGCTTCCAGCTCAGTTCCAGAATGATTTCTTTGTCGTATGAGCAGGGCATGTGGTCAGATCTTACTTCAAGTGGTTGAGCTTTACGTCTTTAAGGAACCATCTTAATGTTTTCTGCATTATCTGCACTAATTTTACATTCCTACAAGAAAGGCATAGAATTTCTTTGTTTCCTTACTTTGTCAACATCTATCTGTTTTGTTTTAATGGGTGTGAAGTGATATTTCATTTGAACTTTGACCACCTTTTGATGTGATTTTCTTTAGAGAAAATCTATTCAAATCCCTTGCCTAATTTTTTTTTTAAAAAATCAAATTATCCATTTTGTTGTTTTCTTTTTAAGAGTTCTTTATGTATTGGGGATATTAACTCCTTTTCAGAGATAAAAGTTGGAATATTTCCTCCATAAGTCTGTGTTGAATTTTTACTTTGCTGACTGTGTGGTTTGATACAAAGAAGCTCTATATTTGGTAGAGTCCTGAGCTATTCCTCAGTTTTAATATTTTCTTTCATTGCCTTTGCATTGGGTATTGTAGTCAAGAAATTATTAATTCACTGTCATGAGGCCATTGTCTTATGTTTTCTTCTAAGGGTTGTATAGTTTAGTTTTGTAGTTAGGCCCTTGGTGTGTTTCAGAGTTAATTTTTGGCTATGATGCTAATTAAGGCTCTAAGAATGTAATTTTTTAAAAGATGTTTTTATCTGTTATTTCTGTGTGCATGAAACCTAGCTTATTCATGAACACTGACGTCAGAACTATGAACCTCATGATTGTACAGCAGGCGCTTCCACCTGCTGGTCATCCCTATAGCCGCAAAGGACTTGCTATTATTCAAATCGATTCTTTTGTATATAGGCATTCAGTTTTCCCAACACCACTTGTTAAAGATACTGTTCTTTCTTCTATAACTATAATATAAATGATAGTTTTGACTCTGTCATAATCCTTTGTTCTTTTTTGAGGTGAATAAAGTGTTCACTGAGCTGAACCAAGGCAAGCGTGTGGGTGGGTGCCTTAACCTAGCCATGTGATGTTCTTCTTTGTGAGTTCATTATCATCAGTGGCCTCATAAAAAATTAAAAATAAATATAAAATAAAAGGTCTTGGCACCCTTGTCAAAATGATTTGACCAGATGCTTTGGTGTGGGTGTACTCTCTCGGCACTGTATTCTGTGTCGTTGGAGCACATGTCTGTTTTATGTTCATGTTACACTGCTTTAGTTCTGTTGTCTTGTGGTAAATTTGAAGTTGAGAAATAAGAGACCTCCAACATTGTTCATTTTTTATTTTTTATTTTTTTATTTTTATTGAGCTCTACATTTTTCTCTGCTCCCCTCCCTGCCTCCCCCCTCCCCTTCAACTCTCTCCCAAGGTCTCCATGCTCCCAATTTACTCAGGAGATCTTGTCTTTTTCTACTTCCCATGTAGATTAGATCTATGTAAGTCTCTCTTAGTGTCTGCATTGTTGTCTTGTTGTCTAGGTTCTGGTTTTCTTTGCTTTACGTTTAAAACCCACTTATGAGTGAGTACATGTGATAATTGTCTTTCTGTGTCTGGGTGACCTCACTCAAAATGATGTTTTCTAGCTCTATCCATTTTCCTGCAAAAATTCAAGATGTCGTTATTTTTTTCTGCTGTGTAGTACTCCATTGTGTAAATATACCACTTTTTTTTATCCATTCTTTGGTTAAGGGGCATTTAGGTTGTTTCCAGGTTCTGGCTATGGCAAACAAAGCTGCTATGAACATAGTTGAGCGCATGTCCTTCTGGTACGATTGATCATCCTTTGGATATATACCCAAAAATGATATAGCTGGGTCTTGAGGAAGGTAGTCTCCTAATTTTCTGAGAAATCGCCACACAGATATCCAAAAGGGCTGTACCAGCTTGCATTCCCACCAGCAATGCAGGAGTGTTCCCTTTTCCCCACAACCTCTCCAGCATAAGTTGTCATCAGTGTTTTTGATATTGGCCATTCTTACAGGTGTAAGGTAGCATCTCAGAGTTGTTTTGATTTGCATTTCTCTGATGACTAAGGGTGTTGAGCATTTCTTTAAGTGTCTTTCAGCCATTTTAGATTCCTCTGTTGAGAGTTCTCTGTTTAGGTCTGTACTACTTTTTTTTTTTATTGGAGTATGTGTTCTTTCGGTGACCAATTTCTTGAGTTCTTTGTATGTTTTGGAGATCAGACCTCTGTCTGATGTGGGGTTAGTGAAGATCTTTTCCCATTCTGTAGGCTGTCGTTTTGTCTTGTTGACAGTGTCCTTTGCTTTACAGAAGCTTTTCAGTTTCAGGAGGTCCCATTTATTAATTGTTTCCCTCAGTGTCTGTGCTGCTGGGGTTCTATTT